TAGAACTATTTGTGCAAAAACAATCTTATGTTCCAAAGAAAAATACAGCAAATCATCTGAAAAGGAAACAACACCACCTGGACTGATATAAAATTGTATAAGAATTGGAGGAAATGGCACGCCTTGAATCATGGCGGCCAGCCCAGGATTATCTCTTTGGAATTGTGTGGGTAGAAGGCCTAGTAAACAAAGGCAAAGAACGGATGATGAGACGGAATGGACTATAAATGGTTGACTATGATTTCTGCAAATCGGAGTCGTTTATTGATCCAGAGTCCTGTGTGGATATAGGTGTGGTTTTCTCCGGCTCCCCACATCTTATGCATGGGATGAACTCATTGATGTTGAAGAGGAGGGTGGTGGAGGGTGCCTCCTATTACCCCTTCCCTTTTTTCTAGGTGGATCTTGGGAACAGGGAGCAAAGCTATGGTATCTAAAAGGTTGCTGTTGATTAAACTGTTTTCTTTTCGTTGCCAGAGTGTTGATTCCAAGGCATTTGAGAGTCACCCTGCAATCTCTATGGCTATGAAGCCTGTCTTCAGTTCTCAGAGAATAGATTGGGGCCTTAAAATTGGACTTCTACACATGGTCCAGATGACTGCGACCATGAACACGGTCTCATAGCAATCATTGATGGTGTGGTTCAAGACACTGAATCCACACTATCCAGACTGTCCTGGATGGCGGCCATGGCAACCAACTTACCCTCCTCCATCATTACTGAGAACTCTTGCCTACAATCCTCTGGTAATCTGTCCTTGAATTTTGCAATGTTCTCTTACAGCGTGTAGTATATTGACTCAAGAACACCTGTTGGTTTGCAATCCTGTGCTGCAGTTTCCTTGACAAATAAAGTTTGTGACCAAACAAATCAAATCATTTTGAGTCTTTGCCCTTAGACATGAGGCTTGTTGTCTCTGCCTTTGCTGCTCATTAGTGGCTGTTACCACCAGAGACCCCAGGGAGGGGTGAGAATAAAAATGTTTATACCCATTAGAGGGGATGAAGTATCTCCTCTCAACTTGTTTTGCTGTGGAAGCCAGGAAGGAGGGTGTCTGACAAAGAGTCTTGACTGGTTCCGTGATCCCTTCATTGATTGGCAGAACAAATCTAGCTGGAATGGCATACGCTAGGATGTCCACCAACTTGTGAGAGCTCTCACATACCTCTTCTGCCTGGATGCCAAGCACCAAGGCCACTCTATTCAAGATTTCCTGACTTTAGCAAACTCAGGAAGTTGGTTGGGGTTGTTTTGCATGTTGAGCAATTCATTTAGTTAAAACTTTAAAAACAAGCTAATGCTATTTTTTGAAAAAAGTTGGGATAGTATCTCTTTAACCTTGTACTGTAACTTTTATTTCACTAGATCTCTTCCTCTTCAGTTAAGACAAACTTGAAAATACTTATGCACATGTGTAAAGTTACTAACATGCATGTCCTCAGGATCAGGGCCTAATTCAGACACAGGACACACAGATTAAAGGAACAATCCGAAAGTGGTACACTTTTTAATCACCTGTACACAAGACAAACATTGTGAAGCTGCATGGACATTAACAATCCATAATACAGTAAAAGTGGGCATTTTTTTACCTATTCTTTTATAAACAGTTTTAATAAGAGAAGTGTATACTGCAGTTATTCCTAGTTGCTGAACATGTAGTCATCCTTAACATATGCAGTAAAACACTGTCAATATACAAAATGATATTTTTAGTATATATATTACAAAGCTTATTTCATCACTGCAAGGCCCCAATGGAAAAATGTTGAACACCGAAGAAGCAGCCATTTCATCAGTAAACAAGAAAATTGAAGAGTCACATAAATTATAATTTTTCAACAAAATACTGATTTATGCAAACAAGCCAAAGATGGTATATCATCCAAACATGCTTTGTTGTACAATGAGCCCAACTACATTCAATGTTTTCAAAGACAGTTTAAACTGACTTCTAAATGCTTATCAAGTGGGAGACTCCTTGAGATCAACGGTAAGGCATTCTAGAAAGAGAGGGCACAGTATACAAACTCTCAATAACGGTACAAGAAGAAAAATGTACAAGACTTGGACACAGTCGGCAATCTAGAGGAGGGCTTGAGAGTATGGACTGGAATCTATAGGACAAGGAAGTCTGTGTTGTTGGTGCTAGATCGTGGTAGGTTTTGTAGATAAGAATAACAATTGATTTTACAAACAAACAAAAACACAACACAATCTCAATGTGAAGAACACAGCACATGAGTGCTGCAATCAGACAGATAGAACCAGATACCTGGCTGGGGTGTTTTGGATCTGTTTGAAAGAATATGAAGCATTGACTGATAAAAGATACTACAATAAATAAGCCATTCTTGATGAGGGTAAAGATGAAGTCTGGAGTACTGAACTGGGGAAGGGAATACATACACTTGCTGAAATTTGGAGTTAGCCAAAAATTTTCCAAAAAAATCATCCCATATCTCCTGTGAAAGCAGGTGCTATCAGTGTAATTCCACTAATCATCTGAGGAATAAATGCCTTATGCTAGGAGGAAGCAGGCAACCAATAGCTCATGTTAGTTATGCTGTCCTCAATACAGAACCCCCCCAGAGAATTAGAACCTATCATATTGGTTTGGTGAGATTAGCCTCTGCAGAACCAGATATGGAGCATGTTAAGGTTGTCCAAATAAATGGCAGGGAATGCTTGAGGCAAAGGGATACAGGGGCCCAGATCTCTCTGGTTAAACAGAGTGTGGCCCCAAAGGCCAGTATGTTACCTGGCCAAATGGCAGAGATTGTGGGGGGTGGGCAAAAGCAGATTCCTTGTACCACTAGTTAAAATCCATGTGCTGTGGGAATGTTTGGAAAGTGTTTTGATTGTGGGGGTAATGGAACACCTCCTAATTAACCTACTTCTTGGTAATGATTTTTTCGGTGTAGCTCAGAGTTAAAGTATTTGCCTGCAGCAGGAGGGAGTTTTATGCTGAGACCCGCAAGAAAAAGGGTAAGGTCTCAGGAACTGCTGAGAGAATGGGAGAAAGTCTCCTTGATTCTTCTGCAGCAGGGGAAAGCCTCATTCTTCCCGGTGGGAGGGTGATTGAGAACAGCTCCTGCACTACAGCTGGAGGCACATCAGGAAGGGATGGGGGTGTAATGCCTGCCAGGGAGAGAACTGTCCAGGTTGTTAGCTGCCAGCAAGTTGCAGCTGAACCAGAGACAGATCCGGCTCTAGGGAGCATAGAGAAATGTGTCCCAGAGGAGAGACCAGAGAAGGGGCAGGGAATCTCAGAAACCACTGAGGTGGGTGAGGATTCCTGTGACTCTGTAACACAGGGAAACAGTGTGCTTCCAAGTATGGGAGGGGCTGAGACTAGCTCCTTTCCCGCAGAAGGCAACATGCCCTCAGGATGGGGGGGGGGGCAGGAGAGGTGTTGTCAGTGATTAAGGAAACTGTCCCAGGTGTTAGCCTGCAGGGTTTTGCAGCTGAACAAGGGAGGAACCCCTTCTCAGGTTGCACAGAGAAATGTGTCTTAGACGGGGGCCCAGAGGAGGAAACTGGGGAAGGAATAGCGGGAGTACAGGAGTGTCTCCTCACTGGTCACTTGGGAGAGGATGCCCAGGACTAAATGGCTAAGTCAGCGACTGTGCATCCAGGCACTCAGCCTGTGATCGACTTCCTGGAGGGGAGCAGTCACATAGCTGACTTATCAGGGACAGAGAAAGGGATGGTGGATGGTTCCCCAATCCAGGTCCCAGTTTTTCAGGATGCTATTTATGATAAGTTTTTGGAAAGTAACTGTGTCTCTTTAAATCAAAATGCAGCTCCAACGCCTGTGATAACAGAGGAGTTGAGACAGGAAGTTGCTAGGTGGTAGTTTGTGAGAATACAAATGTCCCAACTGACTGAGAAGGGGGTGTCTTTCCCCATGCTGTTGAGACACAGAAAGCAGTTATGGGAAAACCATGATTAAATCGAGTCTTCCTGACTAGTGATTTAAATCATGATTTAAATCAAATCCACCCTGCACAGTAATTATCTGCAATACAGAGCAGTTTATTGAGATGGAATTACAGAAATGGTAAAGGGTTACATTAAGCACGCAACTACTATGTGAGACATTAAGAGCTATACATTAAGAGCTATACATTCCTCTTATCGAGTTTCTCTTTCACAAATATACAAACAGGCCCTGCGCTAGCCTCATGCAGTTCCTGCTTGGCAAACAGAGAAGGTGGTTACCAATTTTATAGACGGCTTCTTCTCTCCAGGTCTGTTCTTCTCAGTCCTCTGGTCTGTCTCGGATTCCCTCAAGGCAAGGTCTTGGCTGCCTTGAGACCCCTCTGGTTCACAGTCCTACTCGAGCCCACGGAGCAGAGTTTTGGCTACTCTGTCTAGCAGCGTTGTTTCTTCAAGCGTCAATTAAGGAATCCCAAACACAGTAATTTACTTTGCTTGATTCTTATATTCTTTTTCCTCAAAGGAGTCACATGTCTTAAAAGCATGCCCAGTGGGCATGTGGTTACTAATTTTTACCTAATTAGTGTTTTAGAATGGGCTGGGGGTTGGTACCGAACGAAGATCACCCCACTTTTACTCACTCATCAATCATTCACTCTGGCTCTCTGTGTGATGTCCTTGCTGTAAGGTCACTATAACCAGGTCGAGCTGTATTCCATGTTGAAACTTTATGCATGTGATATTTACTTTGGCATGGGCCCATATTTGCCAACCAATAGGTTCAATATCGTACGCCAGTCTGGCATTAGGCTCCCAGACTAAAATTACCGGCACCAATCCTGACTGAGTCAAAGAGTGTGTGTATATTTTAAAGATAGACAACAACAATCTTAAAACACTTTTGATAAATGAATATAGTACACTGATAGCAAATTGCAAACAGATCAATATATTCATAGACTTCTTGTAAGCAATTCTATTTTCATGGACTTGCTAGTAAACCTGCACCATTTTCTCCTGGCCATATTTTACTGCAACCCTAATAGCTGTTGCAGAACTATATCCTCTTCTTTTGGAATGTTTCACTATTTAAATTTTCACAGGATGCATTTTTTACTGCTGTATTTGGAAATTTCCTGTCAACTGGACTAAAAAGCCGCTGAGTCGATTTGAATATCCAGTATGGATTAAGTATTAATGTAAGTGTACTTAACCCCATGAAAAAAACAATAAAATATGGAAGTCCCAGATTTTCCATCACATCATTCCAATGGGAAATACATACCCACCACATGTGATAAATAAGGACCATGCGGCAGTGAAGCATATGGATATTTACCCATTGGATTGCCTTCCAAAAAAGGGTATTAGCACAGCCAATCTGAAAGAGACAACAACAAAGAAAGAGAAATGAGATTGCAGCTTCAAGATAAGGCAGTCAGTGTTTTCTAGAAATAAGAGACATATTTAGTTTTCCTGTTGTGTTTAGTGTAAACTGCCATACAAACATTCTCTCAATCATTTTTCTCTAGAATGCTAAAAGATTGCACATTTCTATAGCACCTTTTGTCTAGCATCACTCAGATAGACTCATAGACTTTAAGGTCAGAAGGGACCATTATGGTCATCTAGTCTGACCTCCCGCATGATGCAGGCCACAAAAGCTGACCCACCCACTTTCCGTTAACTCAGCTGTTGAAGTGTCCAGATCGTGATTTAAAGACTTCAAGTCGCAGAGAATCCTCCAGCTTGCGACCCCTGCCCCATGCTGCGGAGGAAGGCGAAAAACCTTCAGGGCCTCTGCCAATCTACCCTGGAGGAAAATTCCTTCCCGACCCCAAATATGGCGATCAGTAGAACCCCGAGCATACAGGCAAGATTCTCCAGCCGGACCCTCATTTTACCAGCGATGGCACGTTATTGCCTAATTGACTAAAATCATGTTATCCCATCAAACCATTCCCTCCATAAACTTATCTAGCCTAATCTTGAAGCCAGAGAGGTCTTTTGCCCCCACCGTTTCCCTCGGAAGGCTGTTCCAAAATTTCACCCCTCTGACGGTTAGAAACCTTCGTCTAATTTCAAGCCTAAACTTCCCCACGGCCAGTTTATATCCATTTGTTCTCATGTCCACATTGGTACTGAGCTGAAATAATTCCTCTCCCTCCCTGGTATTTATCCCTCTGATATATTTAAAGAGAGCAATCATATCTCCCCTCAGCCTTCTTTTGGTTAGGCTAAACAAACCGAGCTCCTCGAGTCTCCTTTCATACGACAGGTTTTCCATTCCTCGGATCATCCTAGTGGCCCTTCTCTGTACCCGTTCCAGTTTGAGTTCATCCTTTTTAAACATAGGAGACCAGAACTGCACACAGTACTCCAAATGAGGTCTCACCAGCGCCTTGTATAACGGAAGCAGCACCTCCTTGTCCCTACTAGAAATACCTCGCCTAATGCATCCTAAGATCGCATTAGCTTTTTTCACAGCCATGTCACATTGCCGACTCATAGTCATCCTGCGGTCAACCAGGACTCCGAGGTCCTTCTCCTCCTCCGTTACTTCCAACCGATGCGTCCCCAGCTTATAACTAAAATTCTTGTTAGTCATCCCTAAATGCATCACCTTACACTTCTCACTATTAAATTTCATCCTATTACTATTACTCCAATTTACAAGGTCATCCAAGTCTCCCTGCAGGATATCCCGATCCTTCTCCGAATTGGCAATACCTCCCAACTTTGTGTCATCCGCAAACTTTATCAGCCCACTCCTACATTCGGTTCCGAGGTCAGTAATAAATAGATTAAATAAAATCGGACCCAAAACCGAACCTTGAGGAACCACACTGGTGACCTCCCTCCAATCTGACAGTTCACCTTTCAGTACTACCCGCTGCAGTCTACCCTTTAACCAGTTCTTTATCCACCTCTGGATTTTCATATCGATCCCATCTTTTCCAATTTAACCAATAATTCCTCATGCGGTACCGTATCAAACGCTTTACTAAAATCGAGGTATATTAGATCCACCGCATTTCCTTTATCTAGAAAGTCTGTTACTTTCTCAAAGAAGGAGATCAGGTTGGTTTGGCACGATCTCCCTTTCGTAAACCCATGTTGTAATTTGTCCCAATTGCCATTCACCTCAAGGTCCTTAACTACTTTCTCCTTCAAAATTTTTTCCAAGACCTTGCATACTATAGATGTTAAACTAACAGGCCTGTAGTTACCCGGGTCACTTTTTTCCCCTTTCTTGAAAATAGGAACCACATTAGCTATCCTCCAGTCCAATGGTACCACCCCCGAGTTTACAGATTCATTAAAAATTATCGCTAAGGGGCTTGCAATTTCTGGCGCCAGTTCCTTCAATATTCTCGGATGAAGATCATCCGGTCCGCCGGATTTAGTCCCGTTTAGCTGTTCAAGTTTGGCTTCCACCTCCGATACGGTAATGTCAACCCCCCCTCCTTTATTCCCCTCTGTCCTGCTCCCTCTATTCCTAAGCCCTTCATTAGCCTTATTAAAGACCGATGCAAAATATTCATTTAGATATTGTGCCATGCCTAGATTATCCTTAATCTCCACTCCATCTACATTCTTCAGCGGTCCCACTTCCTCTTTCTTTGTTTTTTTTCTATTTATATGGCTATAAAACCTCTTACTATTGGTTTTAATTCCCCTCGCAAGGTCCAACTCTACACGGCTTTTGGCCTTTCTCACTGCATCTCTACATGCCCTGACCTCAATAAGGTAGGTTTCCTTGCTGATCCCTCCCCTCTTCCATTCTTTGTACGCTTTCTGTTTTTTCTTAATCGCCCCTTTGAGAGGCTCGCTCATCCAGCTAGGTCTAAATTTCCTGCCTACTAACCGTTTTCCCTTTCTCGGGATACAGGCCTCGGACAGCTCGTGCAACTTCAACTTGAAATAATCCCAGGCGCCATCTGCCTTTAGATCCCTAAGTATGTTAGCCCAATCCACTTCCCTAAGTAGTTGCCTTAATTTATTAAAGTTGGCCTTTTTGAAATCGTAAACCTTAGTCACTGTTTTAATTCTGTTAATCCTTCCATTTAGTTTAAACCGAATTAGCTCATGGTCACTCGAGCCAAGGTTGTCCCCTACAACCATTTCCTCAACGAGGTCCTCACTACTCACCAGCACCAAATCTAAAATGGCATCCCCCCTCGTCGGTTCAGTTACTACTTGATGAAGGAATTCATCTGCTAGCACGTCTAGGAACATCTGAGCCCTATTATTGTTACTAGCATTTGTTCCCCAATCTATATCTGGGAAGTTAAAGTCCCCCATGATTACACAGCTCTTATTAGTTTTTACTTCCCTAAAAACATTAAATAGTTCTCTGTCCGCATCCAGGCTAGATCCAGGCGGTCTATAGCACACCCCAAGCACTATCCCAGGGGAGGCTCTAGTAGTTTTCTTACCCAGTGTAATTATTGCCCAGACAGACTCTGTCTTATCCATTCCATCAGTTATTATTTCTTTACAGTTTACCTCATTATTGACATACAATGCCACTCCCCCACCTTTACCTTTTTTCCGGTCATTCCTAAACAGCACATACCCTTCCATACCTGTACTCCAGTCATGACTACCGTTCCACCATGTTTCGGTTATTCCTACGATATCCGGTTTCATTTCTTGGACCAGGAGCTCCAATTCCTCCATTTTGTTAACTAGGCTTCTTGCATTGTTGTATAAACATCTTACTGTATGCTGTTTATCCTTTCTCCCATTAGTTATGCAATTTGGTACGGACCCCGTACTGTCCATCCGCCCCCTCCTTCTTATGTCCAATCCCTTTCCCCTACCTATATCTGTGCTTATCTCTTCACCCTCCTTTTCAGTATTGGAATCTGGCGTGGAGATTAACTGGACATCTCCCAACCGTCTCCCCCAAATTCCTAGTTTAAAGCCCTTTTGATGAGATGAGCCAGCCTCCCTCCCAGAAGTCTATTTCCTTCCCTACTCAGGTGAAGTCTATCCCGTGAGAACAGCTGTCTGTCCCCGAAAGCCTCCCAGTGGCCATACATCCCAAAGCCCTCCTTATAGCACCACTCCCTTAGCCAGCTATTTATCCTCACAATTCTGTCAGCCCTTTGCTGTCCTTCTCTAGGAACAGGCAGAATCCCACTGAAGATAATCTGAGCCTCGACTTCCTTAAGCGTCTTCCAGATGCAGCCAGCTGATGATGGATGAAAACGATGAAAATAAAGCATATGTCACAAAAATGCACAAGGGTTAGCAGGATCTGGGAAGTTTTGGTCAACACCACTCAGGTAGACCATGACTCTCAAACTTCTCTAGCATCTTCATGCGAAGGGCTGAGGTGATCGTGCCAGGACTTGTGGCTGTAGTTCTAAAGAGTCAGCATATTTTAGGATTTAAGTTTAAACCTCTAAAACATACTCTTTGGAACAGATTATGGTTTGGGAAGCAGGGCTGATTTCTTCTCTCCCTACAAGCATGGCAGCTCTCTTCAAGGCTATTCTCCCTCTCTGCATCCATAGAATCTACATAATATACATAAACACTCGTTTGTGTGTGAGCACACATAGACATATTTTTAATCTCCAGCAGATATGTAATGGTCTATATTAAGCTAGTTGGAGCCGATCAGCCATTCTCATGTTACTATTTTCAGTCTTAAAAAAAAACCTTTTAAAAATAGAGTTTAATCACCTAATCTTTGCTCCTGTGCACTAGATCCCAACTAGTGAGTCTGTAAACTAATTTCTTAACATTTCTTTCTTTTTGTTTCTTTGCTATAAAATGGGTAAAAAAAGTTAAAAGATTTTTTAGACAATAGTTAATTATTGTTAGGGTGTTATAATTAAGGATTCCAATGGCCACATCATTTTAAGTTTGGAAGAAAAATTTATTTCTTGACCCCAGAACTAATCTGTCATTTTAGAGGCCAATATTTCTTTGTTTGCTGATTTGTTTTGAGGAGGAGGCAATATGAGGATTATCATGGAAACTTCTCTCACCCATAATTAATACAGCAAGTTCTTACCCTTGCAAGCATAGAGGATATGCAGTATGAAGGATTGTTCATCTCAAGTAGCAGTCCCATCAGGGGTAGATAGTGTCCAGACTTTATGTTAATTATCAGACCAAGAAGCCCACCAAAGGCAAATAAATGATGAACTACCTCGAACACATCAAATATCTTGAAAACAATGTTAGACACATGAATAACTACATTTTCAAGCAAGAAGTAGCCAGCGGCTATTAAGCAATGAAACCAACTCCACTTTTGCTGTGCATACACTTGGTCAGTTTGAAAAACTGGATCTATAAGCAAGGCCCACAACCCAGCTCCACAACTCTGAACTGCAAACAGGCCACGTGTGATATCCATATTCCAGAAGATCTTCTGCTTTGCTGACAAAGTGCGATAACTGGCACTGATCCATGAGGACAGCCAGTGAGCGAGAAAAAATACTCCCAGGTAGCTGAAAAAACCAGCTGCTAGTAATGTCAAACGAACTTCCCACAGAACATAGTCCCAGTCATAAATGGCACTGAACGTTGCACCGTCATTTGCAAGATTCATTTCTTCTTCTATAATTCAAAATATCTGGAAGGAGTCTGAAGCTTCTTACTCACACTGAGCCTGGGCTGTTACATAGAGCAGAAACCCATCTGCAAATAAATAAAATAAAATAAATCCTTGCAGAGAATGGTTGCATGTGTGTATATATGTGATCTCCTCATTTACGAAAGCTCGCTAGTTTCACTACAGTTTAGCATTTGTTACTGTTTCCACTAGTATTTTCCAACAGTTTAGAACTGACATAAAAAAACCTGGTCAAGGCTGATAATTGACCGTCAGGGTCTCAACCAGGTACATAAAAGAAAAGATGAGCTATAGAGAGAGACTCCCTGTTTCCTTACTTCCAGAACTATTAATGGCAATGGATGTTACAGTCACAAAACATTCACCTTTTGTTCCCTAGTCATTTTCCTTACTGATTTTTATGTAGACTATATACTATTCTTTATCTTCTTCAAGACTTCCATTGCCTTTATAAATCATTCCTCAAGAAGCCCGTCTGGCTGAAATGTTTTGCTAACACTACTGACAACACATTTTTAAAACAATCCTTCACCAGTTTATATACCAAGATCATTCCCGCCCCCCCCACGCCTTCCTCACAGAACACTTGAAATTTGTTTTATGACCAATGTTTTTTACTTCTAACAAAGTTAACATTCCAGGTGTGAACAGAAACAACTCCTATGGACATAAACGAAGGAGACTAGTGTTAAGGGGAGAAAAACACAACCACAACTGAGGCTTACAATTCTTTAACAGCATGTTTAAGCATCACTGAATTTTCATTTTTCACCTGTAGAGCCCTCTGGATATGTCTACACTGTATTTTAAAACCCACAGCAGTGAGTCTCTGAGTCCTGATCTACAGACTCAGGTTTGCATTATTGTGCTACAGACTCAGGCTCCGGCTATGGTACTAAAAACAGCTGTGTAGATATTTGGGCTCCAGTTGGACCTTGGGTTCTGATATCCATGCAAGGGGTGAGTTTGAGAGCTTCCCACAGCAGCCATTAGCCAGGAATGGCGAACCGTGGTCACTGGGAGCTGTGGGTGGCTGTGCCTGCAGACGGTCAATGTAAATATTGTCTCGCGGCCCGCCAGCGGTTACCCTGATGGGCTGCGTGCAGCCCGCGGGCCGCAGGTTGCCCACCACTGGTTTAGTGCCATAGCATACGCTTTGGGCTCTGAGCCTCTCTGCCACTAGTTTTAAAAGGCAACATAGAAATGAGTTTTTAGGAATCTATGAATCTTTAGGAATCAAATGTATATGCCCAGTTTACAGGGTACAGATTAAAGTTGCAACAAACCAGCCACTATGGGCCTCCTTCTCAGTTACACTAAGGCCACTTTACACTGCCTGGAAGTACAAAGGAGCCTGGAACTGTTGGAGCAGAATAATGTGGGCTAAATGTAAATGAGAATTGAGCCCTATCTCTATAGTACATGTACACATACTTTATTATTTTGTTAAATAAAAAGAAAATCAGTAATAGTGTAAATATTCTTCTTTATTATATGTTTATATTAACAGAACTTTTGATACATGCAAGTCCATACTTTTGGCTGTTATAATTAGAACTTTTTAATTTTTTTCTGTATTGTCATATTTTGAAAAATAATTAAAACTTTTCAGAGTGTACAAAAAGACAGCCCTGCTTCTTACACTTCTCTCTTCTGTGAGGTGTTTTAACTATGTATGCAGCATCACAGGTGAGCATATATGTAGGCCTTGCACTCACAGAGAAAAACAGAAATAAGGAAACAGGACAAATGGACAATGGACAAAGCATGAATTCACAAGTGCCTTGTAAATAATAAATAGCAAGTACTGTAGATGAAGAAATAGTCAGAAGACGAGTAAAGTATGATAAGCTTGGAGTTGCAGCTTTGCTTACTAGCACAGTTTATAGTGCATGGATAGCTCATGATGAAGGATACAATTCGGCCATGGATTCCATGACTTTAACAGATCTCCGTGACTTTGGCAGGGCTCCATCTGTGCATTCCCCTCCCCAGGCGGAGTTCAGGCTTCGGCTCTCACCCCTGTGCGGTATGGCTTAGACTTCAACTTCAGTCCCACCGTGACCATAACCTGATTTTGTACATTTTTACCATGACTGTTCTGTGAATTTGGCTTAATTTTACGGTGACAAAATCGTATCCACACTCATGATCTACACAGGGCCTGGTTCACACAATTAGCAAGCCAATCATAAAGCCTGTGATACAGTATAGAATGTAATACAAATGTTAGTCTGTTTTAGAACTTGTATATAATCTGATTTATAACGATGTACTTTGGAGTTGTGATGGTCCCTAACCTACTCCACTACACGTGACCTGATCACCTGAGATGCAGCTTTCTGAAATGCCAATAAAGAAACCTCAGTGACAAGCCTAGATTTGAACTGAGTTTTTGGATTTCAGAGAACTGGATAAAGCGTTTTCCCAGAACTGGACAAAGCGTTCTGGATGAGCCGAATGGAAAAGATCTCAGATGGAATCTCAACAATGTTGTTTTTCTAGCAAATTTGAATATCAGACACCAAAAAAAAAAAAAAAAAAAGGGCATAATACTACAAAATCTTATTCTAGTAAACGGGACGACTTGCCTGAGAAAGAGCTTGTAGGATCATCTTGTGAATAGAATTGCACGGTCAACTTCTGAACAAAATTAGACCACTTTCTAAAAGGTTTATTATTCCTGAAGCTAACTAAGAGGGTAGGACATACAGAAACAACCTCCCTATTGCCTCTTCAGCATCACAGTTATTATTAATTGTACAGCCCATAATTTTCAAGCTTGGGGGCACAAAGCTAATTAAAACTTTCTCCACATGAGGTGGTTTAAAGAAGATAAACGTTTTCTTTCTTTTTTGTTTGAAAACATCCATGTCACAGGTCCATTTTGCTGATGCATTATACTAGATCGTCGTGACTGCTGGACATAGCACATCCCGTCATTATGACCAGGGGAAGAACTAATTTAATTTGACTGGGAGCTCTGGTAGGAGATAGAAGAGGAAGCCATTGTTAGCAAAATAAGTAAAAAGCTTCTATAGAGATGCCTTCCTTCCCTACTCCTCAATAGACTAAACAACAGAAAAAGACGATAGCATCCTAATATCTAGAGACTAAAGGAATATTGCTTATTTATATTCGCAGAGCGCCTGATTGTGTTCTCCTTTACACCACAGTAACTCCACTGGCCCTTCCTTCCTACTGCCTTGCATCTTGGACCAGTGGGAGAGTTAAGAATTCTAATTTGGTAGCATTTTACACTCACAGATGTATAGAACTACACAACGTGCAAGGAAATGGGGAATCAGGCCATTAACATCAGCATAGTTTACACTGATGTTAAGAGAAAGTCCCAGAAACCTTCCTCTCTCAACTCCCCACAGAGAAAGACAGAGAAAACAAAACACCCTCCAACCCAGCCCCTCCCCTCAGCACCAGCACAGTTACATCCAGGCTGTGTGAAATTCCCGACTTCAAGAAATAGCCTCTCTCCTGGAAGTAGGGCTGCCAGGCGTTCAGTTTTCAACCCGAACGCCCAGTCGAAAAGGGAGCCTGGTACCTCCGGACAGCACAGCTGACCAGGCTGCTAAAAGTCTGGTTGGCGACAGCAGGGCAGGCAGGCTCCGTGCCCGGCTCTACGCAGCTCCCAGGAAGCAATGGCATGTCCCTCCGGCTCCTAAGTGGAGGGGCGGCCAGGGGGGCTCTGTGTGCTGCCGCTGCCTACAAATGCCACCCCGAGTGCCAGCTCTGCAGCTCCCTCCACATAGCAGCCGGAGGGACATGCCAGCCACTTCCTGGGAGTCGAGCGGACTTCCTCCGTCACCAGGAATTGCCTGGGCTGCCTGAGGTCAGCACTGCCCAGACTCTGCACCCGCACCCCCTCCTGCACTCCAAACCCCTTGGCTCCAGCCCCGGAGCCCCCTCCCACACTCCAAACACCTCATTCCTGGCCCCATCCCAAAGCCCGCACCCCCAGCCTTCAGTCCCCTCCCACACCGCAAACCCCTCAGCCCCATTCCCCAGCCCAGAGCCCCTTCCTGCACCCCAAACTCCTCATCTCCAGCTCCACCCCAGAGCCCACACCCCAAGCTGGAGCCCTCACCCCCTCCCACATGCCAACCCCCTTCTCCAGCCTGGAGCCCCCTCCC